TGCTCGCGCGCGCACGCGTGGACAAGTAGCGGCCTCCCGCTGTGATCTCTGTAACGAGCTTTTTCGCTCACGGACGATTTTTCGCTCACAACCAACGGGGCTGACACCAACGGCGGAATTTCTGCGACACGAGCTCTCTAATGCTATCGCGCTAAAATATCGGAGGTGGTTTACGGCCCTCTAAAGGGTCTCGATGAGCGCAGCGGGTATGTGCCACCACCGTACCGTCTGAGTGAAGCGCAGAAAACACCCGCCTTTTCATGCATAGCGTTGGATTTTCAGCTTAGCGTCATAAATGCTACGCTCCTTAGAATTACGTATGTATGACTTGTATAAAGAAGTGCGCCACAGTATATTGACGCGTTGATGTTCTGAGTCAGAAATGCGCAAAATTTGTTTTTTAATCGATACTACGCAGAAGTATGAAGGCAATAACATAGTCGAGAGTTCAACGGAATACCGTCAGGCGAGGGCATTGTTGAAAAACAAGTCACTGACCAATGCCAAACAATACAAATCATGTTTCGGGATCCGTACTGATCCCTTGCTCACAATCTGTGACATCACCGACAGCAAGTTACACGTTGATAACATTGATGTGAATAAACGTGCAAAGACAAACTTTTTGAGACCACTGGCCATGCTACGGGCAGGTATAAGTTGAATTTTCGTGCTAGTCTGCTACAAGTGGAGCACACGCGCCATTTTCCACGTCGGTCTTCAGATGTGCAGTTAGGATATTGCAATTAAGATATTCAGAGACATCTCGACACTCGTACTAATCAAGTTTCTCATGCAGGAAACTGCATCGGAAGGAACAATTCTTAGAATTTTAATGAGTTATCATTCAGTATTTCAGTTTCACTAGAACGTGATGTCCGCGATAGATATTTTCAACTTTTAAAGTACCCTGTTCGCAGTCAGCTAGCGAACACACAAATACACGTACTATTTTCTCTTTCTTTCTCTTTACTAATTCTCCCTCCTCTTCACCCTGCCTTTTCTTTGCCACCCTCTTGCTATATGTAGTATGGTACATGATATGCGAAGGTATGCTACGATATATTCTGCTATAGCGTGTGTCCATGTTGCAAAGAAACGAAATAATTAGTTTCCTCGACAATTCCTAAGGATGGTCACCTAGCTAACAGATGTGTACGAGCGAATGGGGAATCGGACAGAATGGTATATTACATTAGTACAATGCAATATAACTACCAGTATAATGAACATGTTAGCTCAATCGGTATTGTATTTGCTTGCGAGTGCTTAACCTATGTTGAATAAGTACGACAAAATAAACAGACTATATAACTGAGTGGTTATGGCACTCAATCTCGGGTCGTGGGCACGTAAATTTGAATACTCCTTCGCCAAGAATTTTTCGTTCAATGAATTTCCCTTTTTTCTATTTTTCTCTCTACACTAGTTTTCTCGCCAATCACAAATATTGCATCCCGCACCGATCAAATCGGCACACGCGTTATGAGAGTTACGCAAAAAGGACGAAAGAAGAACGTTCCCGTTCATGATCACTTTGTACATATACCCCACGTGTAAAATCTCCAGCATAACAGCTCTGTTGTAAGCAAAAAAAGACAAAAACAGCTGCTCTTCTCGCACGGAGTTGATGTTCTGGCTTTTCGCGCTCCAAGGATCATCCGAATTAACCGGTTGCGCCGTATTCTGATTGAATTAACGAGAGTTTGGTGGCATCAAACAAGGCAGACGCTACCCGGGACGAGCGAACACGTCGTAATTACCCGATTTTCTAAATTAACGATAGTCGCATGAACGGACTATTACTACAGGCTTGCTCTAAACGCGAGTGAAACAATCAGGTTTTCATTCTGTGAGGCAGGCAGATAGATAGATAGATAGATAGATAGATAGATAGATAGATAGATAGATAGATAGATAGATAGATAGATAGATAGATAGATAGATAGATAGATAGATAGATAGATAGATAGATAGATAGATAGATAGATAGATAGATAGATAGATAGATAGATAGATAGATAGATAGATAGATAGATAGATAGATAGATAGATAGATAGATAGATAGATAGATAGATAGATAGATAGATAGATAGATAGATAGATAGATAGATAGATAGATAGATAGATAGATGTCTGCCCTTTGTGCTGCTCTCCACTGTTGTGCCAGCAGCCTCACCAGAACGTTAAGAAAAGAGCCTTGAAATGCATACAATACGACAAGAAAGTATTTATTATTTATAATCCCGGCAGAACCATCGTCAACACAGTAAAAACATTTTTCTTTCAACTAAAAAGCAAGGGGCACTGTACAGGCTCAGGACACAAATTTCCGTGGGGGTAGCAAGGTCCAGGTCGTTGCCATTCAGTTTCAATGCGTAAACGGGCTATAATGAGGCAAATCTGTAACCGTTGCACCTGACACCGGAAAGTTGTTCACCGGCTAGTTATCACGATCTTGTTCACCTGACAGTTTAGCAGTGGTGCGCGTGAAATCACAGGTTAATCTCGATGGATCCCGTTTGTTGTTTAACTTTCTTCGCAGGCAGAGGGATCTGCCGCTGCACTTTCTTTGCCTCGGTGGTTCTGGAGGGCGTCTTGATGTCCAGGTGAAGCAGCGGCGGTCGCCTGCACGTACGAGAATGAAGATCATGAATGAGATGTACTTAAAGGAGTGAATTGTAACCTATAACTTGAATACCTATTTCAAGGCTGATAAAGTTACTATTAGAAGATTGATAGTAGTTCACGACTGAGTCGAGGCTATTCCGGGGTGAAAAAAAAAACTGTGTGTTTTGAAAAACATACACCATCGAGCCAAATGCGCCACAAGTTAGAATAAAAGAACTTGCAACCATCATGGTCAGCGTGATCCTTACAAAGCAAACACCAGCATATCCAGCTCTGCAATACAAAGCTGGATTTTGTAAAAAAATACGTATTAGTCAACCGTGGTAATGTCATCTGCGTGAAATTACGTGTATTCGACATTGGGTATTGTTGATGCTGAGGACCGAAAGTATTTTCGGCCTCCTGCAAGGACAACGAGTTTCAAACAGTGCCCGTAATGCTCTGAGAAACCTTCGTCTCCGGGTACTGTGAAATCTCACTAAAGTGAATGCCTCCCGAACCTCAGAATGTGTCTAGTGTAAATTTATTATTTTTATTTCAATAGACTGCCAGCCTACTTACTCCAAACCGGAGGGGCACGTCAGAGCAAAAAAATAAAATACGATGGTACCTTAATGGCTGCAATGGTGTTATAAAGAACTAATGCAGTACAATAAAGTTTCAACAACTATAATGAAAATAGGTGCATACAATTTTGAATGATCTTATTGAGTGTGATGAAGCGTCAGCAAGAATGCCATTGAGTACTCAGTGCGCATATTTATTTTCTGCAGGAATGCAGAGTAGCATGGCTTTATTTGGTTTCTTGCCCCTGTAAAACCAGTACTCTTTAGTTCTGTCAATGCAGTCAAGTCAGCACATCTCTAGTGCAACGACCTAAATTGGCCCCGCCGCGGTGGTTTAGTGACTATGGTACTCGGCTGCAAACCCGCAGGTCGCGGGATCGAATCGCGACTTCGGCTGCTACACTGATTTTCGATGCAGGCGGAAATGCTGTAGGCCCGTGTGCTCAGATTTGGTGCTCGTTAAAGAAGCCAAGGTGGCTAAATTTCCCGAGCCCTCCACTACGGCGTCTCTCATAATCAAATGGTGGTTTTGGGACGTTAAAGCCCACATATCAATCAATCAAATTAACTACTTTAACTGGAGAGTGTTCTTATACTGAGCTTCATCGTCAATCAATTGCCTCAGACAGCACGCTTCCCTAAAAAATTTGCTTCGTACCAGCCCGTCGTCAACCGAAAAAAAAACATTTGTGTGGACCACATGGTTCGTTGGAATGTGATAATTTTGCTTCATTACGATTGTGAACGTGCAGCGAAAGAGAATCTGGCTCTCGCTCGTCTTACCAGAAGGAGCGCCGCGTCTCTCGTCAGTATTAAAGTATGTTAAATCACACGCAGCATTTCGTTGTGTATACTTGTCACTCGAGAACATACCTGCAAAAAGAGATCCCTGGATTTAAGCTCGGGAAATACGTTGAGAACCCAGGGGTTGCGAATTACGAGGGATTCCAGCACGCACTCGGCATGTTTCATCCCAGCAAAGCTCCAGGACGTGGACACGTACCGCTGCAATCGATGCATTGGGCCCTGCGTCACAGGTAGGGGAGAACCAGGCGTAGGTGAACGTTATGAGCAGTACTTTTTTTGTTTAATAATGACATTGAAACAGAATATATTCATTCTGACATCTGAGAAATTGAAAAATAAGGATACGGACGTCAAGTTCTCGCCCTTAATAATGTTATATATTAGCGAAATATAGCGGATAAAATATGCCATCAACCCAGCAGTAGAATTTCATCCGTCTTACCCTTTATATTTCAAGCGCCTCATTAATTTGTTTAAATTTGGTTCTTCATATCTATTTCACTACAGGTAAAGAAGTGACACAATCTCTCGGGTAATAGGCTAACTGATGCACACTACGGATTTCGTGACAGACAAAAAGAGAAAGTATCTCAGATCAGCAATCTCGTCTTACAAGAGAACAGAAACTTGGTTATATTGAACTCTAAAGCGAGTAAAGTTGTTTGTACACATGCAATTTTCTTCCAGAAATTCTTCTTTTATTTTAGGTTAAAAGCAGAGAACTTGCTTGGCTAGGTGAAGCATTTCGATTGTGTAAGCGTCGGCATTCTTTAATACATAGTGATCTTTGGTTCGGTATAGACAATATGCGATGGTACACAGCCTTAACCGATCCTATGATACAACATTTTAGCTGAGGATTCTTGAGAACCCCATTATCCTAGCGACAATCGACCTTTTCCGGGGCCTAACAGCACCTCCAGAGGAGATCGTCGAAATATAAACTGGTGATTCCTTGGCCTCTGAATGTTGTCCACAGCGTGCCAGTAGGCCATCTAGGAGGCCTGCATTCGCGCCGTTTTCAGGGGGAGACACTCGCAAGTTCGTGACACCAGCTGTTGCTGGGTCCGCACCTGTGGTTGCTATTCGGCCTTCAAAACTCATGGTGTGTGGTGCCTCGTCGATGCCAGCGCGCATGCGCACACTACTTACCCGGAAAAGGACCATTGTTGCAGCAGCGCAGCTGCCTTCACTTTAAAGATGACATCCATGAAAGAGTGTACGTACCTCGAACCTGCCCTTGAGTATAACGCTTCCGACAGCTGCCCGGGTGTGCGGCCACCGCTCGGCGAAGGCGCAGATGGCGTCTGCCTTCGCCTCGTCATACAGTCGCACCGACACTTCCCCCGAAACGTTCGGGAAAAGTCCAACGAGGTCCTTGGCGCGGGTCTGGTACCAACCGCGGTTCACGTCCGAGCCTCGCCGACAGGACAGGTTACAGAGCAAAATGCCCAACAGCACGTAGAAATCATCCATCGTGGCGGGAGGATACCAGTCAGTCATCAGGTCCCTCAGCCGCTGGCGTAACTCCCCCTTGCTCAGTTTCAACGGTTCCAGTACCAGACCTTCTTTGTCGGCACTGTCCAAAACCTGCCAACAACAGGTAAAAAAAGCCATTTTTGATCATCCAGTTGGATTCCCACTGCATTCGGACCGTTCTTAGTAAGTGGTACTTAGCACTTCAAGGAATAAAACCAACGCTGCTAGACACGAGAAGAGAACTGAGAGTACCTGTCGAAAAACAATCAAGCACACCTTATTGAAGGACCACAGTGCCTACATGTAAAACACGATCGGACAGTAATGTCGAGAAGAAAGCGAAGCTATTTCGCAGTTAGCCAGAGTGATGAAATGCGTATACGAAAACTTACCCGCATGTACTGATAGGATTCGACCATCTCACTCAGCTCGTAATGGTGGAGATCCTGATGATGACGTAAAGAAGCTATACGACATTGGGGCAGAGTTCTCATTGTGATCGGCGTGCTGGGGATGCGAGATAAACAGACATTTGTATGCGAAAAAGACTGGCTTTCAAGCTGGTCTTAGTGAAGACGACTGTATATATAATAAATAAATTCACCAGGACATGCCCCTCGTAGCAATAGCTAGACAACCAATGAAGCCGAACTAGCCACCTAAGGGAATCAGAACACAGTATGCCCCCACCCCAAAATTCTCTTAGAGAATAGGCACATGCAAGCAATATTCCCCTCAGAAGCACATTTCCGTACTAACACCAACAATACGCACTTTCAAGACGGCCGACAATCAGAGCTTCTGTGAAGCAACAACTACCCAAACAAGCCATCCGATGCCATTTCGGCTCTCTGTCGAATTTTCCCCATGAGCCTTGTGCCATAAGACCCCTTAGTCGAGTCGTATCCAATATAAGAACAGGATCGGCATACACTCCTGAATGGTTATTTAATGTCAAGGGCGCTCCTTCCCCGCTGTGCACTGAGTGCAACAATTTCGGGAATATTCAACACTATGTGATATCTTGCAAGCATTATTGCCGTAAAAGATAGACATAGCTGGACAGTACGAAGAAAGCATCGAAGGCTCCCCAACAGATGCTGTGAAGCCATTGTGATTCCGGCAGTTGCGCGGTTGATGCGAAAGCAAGCGACTTGCATAGTCGTACGTTTTCTCCGAAAGACAGGGTTAAGCGATGCTTGGTGAGCCAAACTACATGGAAAAGCCACTCAGGTGGAGCAAATGTCGGCCAGGTCTGCCAGGCTAACCCCGCCTATAGCAACATCATCATCACCACAACGACCACGGAATGATTGGAGAATTGCGCATGGCATGAAACTCATTATACCTAAGTGTTACAACAATCGTAATATTGTGGCGCACGTGATGTATGACAAAAAGCAGATTGTGAACATTATGCCGCATAGAGTGGGACGTAACTGCATATCTAACATTTTCCTACTGTAGAATATTATTTGAGGACCATTCGAATACACCTAATCGAGCATCTTTTAAAACTTACAATGCGTGCTCCTTGTTCGAAAGCTATGCAAAATTAGTTGGATTCACTTCGGTATTATTGGACTCGTACGCTGAAAAGTAATGTTTGGTCAATTCAGAATGCGGGTGACTATCACGCATTGCTGGGCACATTGACATCCCGCAGATAAAAACAACAAAATAATGTAGTACCGTTCGTCTACTCTTTTGTGCAATATAACGATAAGTCAATCTGGTATGATCGCCAGCCTGTAAGCTAGACAGCTTCGTTCTTTGCAATGGACCACATACAACTATTCGGCCTTTTTACTACGTCACACCGTAGCACCTCTAAAGAAGTCAGGTAACTGTATTTATGAAATTCTTACTGAAGTTTGTTTGCAATAGAAAATGAGGTAATCTTGGTTTGTCCAGATTAAACATTAAACAGGACTGCGTCAGGAATTTTTCCACATGTAGTTGCTAAAACTTTAGGAACTACATAATTTGGAATGAATAGATCTTTCTATCTTCATTCATGACCGCACATCACCAGTTTACCCTATTTTGCGATCGCACAAGTGACAAAAGAGGTCACCCACCTTCTCGAAGTGGTCTCCGCACATCAAATCTATGAAGCCAAGCAGACAGGGAACAGCGGTGACCGGGTCGATACTTCTTGTCACCAGACGAATCCAAGTTGCGTTAAACTGCCCTAGCGACGGGAACACGAAAACCTTTTGTGTGGTCATTGCCAGAGGCATGGATCTGCCGACGTCCGTGGTCTTCAGCGCCGCAGCTATGCAGAAGACGTCTTCACGTGGTACGACATTGGCAGGGTTAGATCCGCGTTCTTGTCGCGATGCTTGCGTCACAAGAGTTTCCGGCATGGCGGATTCCCGGGGCGCTGACGAAAGATGATTCCGGGGCCCCGGGGTTTCCTCGGCTTCTTTTAGCGCGGAATAATCGGGTGTGACGCTTTCCAGGGGTTGAAGTTTCGCCCCCCTCATCTGTGCTGTTTGCCACTGTG